GCTCTAACTGTCAGGAAGTTCTTCCTGATATTTAGCCAAAAACGCTTTTGATTTAATATCAATCTATTGGTTCTGGTCTGACCTTCTGGAGCAACAGGAAACAACTCCGTTCCACCCTTTATATGACAGCCCTTCAAAAAATTAAAGATGGCTATCGTATCACCTCTCAGCCGTCTCCTCTCTAGGCTGAACATAGGCAACTCCTTTAACCTTTCCTCATAGGACTTGGTCTCCAGACCCCCTCATCATCTTCATTGCCCTCCTCTGCACATGTTCCAGTTTGTCAACGTTTTTCTTAAACTGCTGTGCCCAAAACTGAACACAGTACTCCAAGTGAGGACTAAACAGAGCAGAATAAAATGGCAGTGGCATTTGAAGTGTTGCTTGGAATCAGCACAAACTCACTGGACAGTACCCTTGTCATCACCGATCACTAGCTACAAAAGTCCCCCTTCCTGTGCCACTAACAGTGAAGGCAAATGTAATATTGTTTAAAGATGTGATGCCACTCTAGAAGCACCTTCCCCGTGTTCAGCACATACATCCTTCTCCTCTCCAGCAACAACTCCCAACAAAAAGGGTTCTGAAAGTCTGAAGTGGAAGACAGTGGTGCACGACACCGATTGGCTGGTGCCTGTGATGTCCCCAAGACCCTCTATCCAAACCCAGTATGGTTTGATGTTTTAAGAAAAAGTACCCCCCCATTTTAAATTACAAGGCAGCAAACATTAAAATTAACCTTTATCTGAACATAAGAACATAAGAGACGCCAATGTTGGATCAGGCCAAAGGCCCATCCAGTCCAACACCCTGTGTCACACAGTGGCCAGAAATACCAGGTCCACCAGTGGGGCCAGGACATTAGAAGCCCTCCCACTGTTGGCCCCCCCCCCCAAGCACCAAGAAGACAGAGCATCACTTGCCCCAGAGTCTCTATCGATACCTTGTGGCTAATAGCCACTGATGGACCTCTGCTCCATATGCTTATCTAATTCCCTTTTGAAGCTGTCCATGCTTGTAGCCATCACCACTTCCTGTGGCAATGAATTCCATGTGTGAATCACTCTTTGGGTGAAGAAGTACTTCCTTTTATCCGTTCTAACCCAACCGCTCAGCAATTTCATTGAGTGCCCACGAGTTCTTGTATTGTGAGAAAGGGAGAAAAGTACCTCTTTCTTTACCTGCTCTTTCCCATGCATAATCTTATAAACCTCGATCATGTCACCCCTCAGTCGTCTTTTCTCCAAGCTAAAGAGCCCTAAGCGCTTTAACCTTTCCTCATAGGGAAAGTGTTCCAACCCTTTTATCATTCGAGTTGCCCTTTTCTGCACTTTTTCCAAAGCTATAATATCCTTTTTAAGGTGTGGTGACCAGAACTGCACACAGTATTCCAAATGAGGTCTCACCATTGATTTATATAGTGGCATTATGATATTGGCTGATCTGTTTTCAATACCCTTCCTAATAATCCCCAGCATAGCATTGGCCTTTTTTATTGCAGTCACACACTGTCTCTGGTGCTTCAGAAAAAAAATTAAAAGAAGAAACTGCGTGCTGAGCTGGCATTAGGTTCAAATCCTCACTCTGCCATGGAACCTTACTTGGGTGGCCTTGGGCCAGGCACACAGTCGCAGCCTGGCCTACCTCACAGGGTTGAGAGGATAAGATGGAGGAGAGGAGAAAGATATAAGGCACGTTGGATTCCCACCGGGGAGAAAGGTGGGCTAGAAATAATGTAAAATTGTTTTAAAAATCAGATGCGTTGCAAGATATGCAGGTAATTTCAGTCGCGAAGCCTGGATGAACGAAGGCTCACTATAAAGCTGAAACAGTAGAAAAGAGCAATACTACAGCAGCAACTTAAAGACTAACAAAAATAAAAGACTGGCCAAAGAATCTGAAAAACCCCCACTTTATTATAAGTAAAGATGAAAAATGAGTAAGTAAAGGTAAAGGTTTCCCTTGCTTGAGAGCCAGTCGAATCCAACACTAGGAGGTGGTGCTCATCTCTGTTTCCAAGCCGAAGAGCCAACGCTGTCCGAAGACATTTCTGTGGTTGTGTGGCCAGCATGACTAAACACCGAGGCGCATGGAACGCTGTTACCTTCCCTCCAAAGTGGTACCTATTTATCTACTTGCAATTTCTTGCTTTTGAACTGCTAGGTTGGCAGGAGCTGGGGCCAGAGACGGGAGCTCACTCTGTCACGTGGCACTCGGGTCTCGAACTGCTGAACTACAGACCTTCCGGTCTGCAGCTCAGCTTCTTAACTTCTGAGCCACTGCAGCCCTGAAAAATGAGTAACTTATATTAAAGTTACTATAATGTTTTTTATTTTTATTTTTTCATCAGTATAATCATAGCTTAGGCACTAATATAACTGCATTAATATAATTAAGTCTGTTATAGATAATACTACAATGGTATAAATATAAGCGTTCTCTGAAACAATGGTATATTCAAGACCATAAAAATAGTTTTCGACATATATATGAACCTAGTTTATTGTTATTCTTTTTATTTTTAGAAATGCTCTTAAAATGTGTTTTTTTACTGTAGTTGATTATAACAACTGTAATGGTATTAAGATGCAATGGAACATATAATGTAATAATCAATGTCTAACAGTTAATATTAATCTATATATCTAATAGCGAAGGTGCCCCCCGTGTGCGGATATCTAAATCCGCACATCGGGGGCACCTGGGGGGCAGGGAGATTTTCCTGCACACTTGGTGCAGTCCCCAGGTGTGCACAAAAATCTAAAAAGTTGAAAAAATATAAGGGGAATATTTAAATCCCCCAAAAGGTAAAAGAGCGTTTCCTGCGCATGCGCAGGGAACGCTTTGGGAACTCTGCGGTGGGCCGTTGGCTGGAAGTCGCTCAGGCCTCGCCACCGGAGCTGAGGCGATGGGAGAAGAGGAGGAGGAGATCGGCTGCCAGAGTTGGAGGGGGAGGGAAGGAGATCGGCGGCGGGGGGGTTGGCGGGGCATTCTGTGTAGAATAGCCAGGAGATCCCGAAGGACTGTTTGGCTGCCTGAAGCTGTAACTTTTCTGGCACCACTAGGTGGCGAACTATGCTTATTTTTAGGCTTAGAGTGCTGTGACTTGCCTAAAGTCACCCAGCTGCCTTCAAGTGGGGAAGTGGGGAATCGAACCTGGTTTTCCAGATTAGAGTCCGCCGCTCTTAACCACTACACCCAGCTGGCTCTCTAATGGTTGTTATTACGAACTTGCCTGGATAAACAGGGGTGTCACAACTCATTTGTTACCACAACTGGATCTGACATAAATGTTAGTTTGTCACCCTGGGCCATGTGTGCTGTAAAATGTGATGCCAGGCACCGGAGATATACACTTTCTAAAGGACACAGGCAAACCTGAGGGTGCACTTGATTCCTAGCAGTTAAAGCGACTGATTTGCTGGGGAACCCACAAAAGCCTGGCTCTCCCAGCTCCCCCCCCCAGCTCCAGTTCTCATCCCTCCTGTGTTTCCCACAGACGTGGCAGGGCTGAGGGGAAGGCCTGACAGAGAGCCTGTTTCCAAAACCTCCAGGGGTGCTTTTTGTTCTCCAGCGACTCCTTTCCCCTCATGGTTGAGAACAGCACCAGTTGCTCGCAAGCTGGATAAAAGCCCTGGGCAGGATGGTTGCAGCCCGCAGGCCATATGTCTGACACCCCTGGATTAGGGACTGTGGTCCATACTGCTGTGTCTAGATGACTGTGAGCAGCATCCCATTTATGTAATTTCTGTACCACTTAATGCGTCATGAGAAGAAAAAGAGGAAGAAGAGGAGGAGGAGGAGGAGATTGGATTTATACCCCACCCTTCACTACCCAAAGGAGTCTCAGAGCGGCTTACAAACTCCTTTCCCTTCCCCTCCCCACAACAGACACCCTGTGGGGTAGGTGGGGCTTGACAGAAACTCTTTTTCAAGAACCGGTCTTATCAGAACTATGGCTTGCCCAAGGTCATCCAGCCAGGTGCAAGTGGAGGAGTGGGGAATCAAACCCGGTTCTCCCAGATTAGAGTCCACGTGCACTACACCAAATTGGCTCCTTATGTGAATGCTTATGGTACGCTTCAGTTCTGTCTGGTGGTTCCAGACTTTGAAAATCCAAATGCATTTGGTTAGTGAATGTCCCGTTTTTGTGACTGTGCTGGCTCAGTATGTGTGAGTCCCTGTGAGAAAGGAGGACTAGAAATAACACATATAGGTACAAAAGAGCAAGGGTCCAGGAGCACCTTAAAGATTAACAAAATTTGTGACAGGGGATGAAGAAGTGAGCA